TGGCATTTCTGAATTGAAATCATAAGCAAGCATACAACTGAAAATTTTTTCCTGAGCTGAGTAAAAGAAAGATTAAAAAGATTTACTCCCATAAATTGAGTAGATTCACTATGTTTGAGAAAAACCCTGGAAAGGAACCTATGCCCGGAGGTAGTCTATGGAATTTATTTAGAGAACGAAAAGGAAAACAAAAATGCAGACAGGAAAAAGAAAAAAAAAGTTTGGCTCCAAAGGAACAAAAATCAGGGTAGCCACAGCCATCTCTTCCACCAGAGATGACAGAGCAATGTTTAAACAGCTGAGGACTTGTGACTTATAATTTCATATCTTATAGGAGAAGGAAATGACAACCCACTCCAGTACTCTTGCCTGGAAAATTCTATGGATGGGGGAGCCTGGTAGGCTGCGGTCCATGGGGTCGCAAAGAGTCGGACACGACTGAGCGACTTCACTTTCTTTCTATCTATAGTTCCTTTTGGAGAAGGAAATGGCAACCCACTCCAGTGTTCTTGCCTGGAGAATCCCATGGACAGAGGAGCCTGGTGCGGCTACAGTCCATGGGATTGCAAAGAGTCAGACACGACTAAGCAACTAACACACACATACACATAACCTTATAACAGAGTTAAGCATGCTGTATATACTAAATAAAAATACTAAAAAAATTCAAACTTTGAAATGAATTTATTTTACATATCTACCTCCTAATAGCACCTTTCTTCAACTAAACTTTTAAGCCTATTTATAAGTTGGATCTTTTTCCCATTCAAACAATAGATTTGTATGACATCTAAACTTTCTGATATTGGTGTCATTACTTTTACAAGATTATCGTGTTTTTACATAAAACAAGACTTCTCTGCATACATGTGAGAAAAATTATTCCTCCAATGATGATTTGAACTGATCCACCAGCTCAAATTCTTTTGCTGCCTTTGAATAGTGGGACTTGTAGAACTAACTCGTCAGCACATATGCTAATAAGACCAGAACCAGGAACTAAAAGCTTATGACCTTGGCCAAAGATATTCAAGAAATAAAACAGTACAAAAAGATCAACACTGTTTCAGAGATTCCAGACTCAGCGCTGGTCTAAAGTCTGAATTCATGACAGAGCAATGTGTTTTTAAAATATATTACCAAGTGTCACTACTTTTTGCAAAAAAAAATAAAAAGCAGTTGGACATTTTCATCTTGCAAAGTCTTAATTAAAGACTAGATTAACATGTCTTCTTATTTCTACAAGATTTTCATTCATTCACTCAGCACCTACAATATTCTAGCACTTACTATGTGTGTAGGTCCTCAAAGGAAGAAGTGTCAAAATTTTTTGGGGAAAATCAGAGAAGACTCCAGAAAAAGGGAATCTGGAAAACTTGGAACTGAATTTTGAAGTTTGAATAAGAGCCTACCAGGTGGAGACAAAGGTATATCAAAAGATGGAATAGCGCCAGCAAGACAGGGCCTGAAAAGAATGTGCTAAGTTTAAAAAAAAAAAACAAAAAGGCAGCAGATGAAGCATAGGTTGTGTAAAGTAAGACAAATAAGGTCCAATGGCTCCCAACATCAGGAGGAACCACTCTTGAAGGGGTTGTTTGGAAATGAATAGGATCATACTGGATTGTAACAGAGGTGGGGTGGGGCATGAGGAGATGCAGTCTGTCATTGCCATTTAGTGCTCAAAGACCAAGTATAATAAGCATTCTGCAATGTACGGAACAGTACCATAAAAACGGTGGTTGAGCCAACAAAGGTCCATCTAGTCAAAGCTGTGGCTTTTTCAGTAGTCATGTATGGATGCAAGAGTTGGACCATAAAGCTGAGCACCGAAGAATTGATGCTTTTGAACTGCAGTGCTAGAGAAGACTCTTGAGAGTCCCTTGGACTGCAAGGAGATCAAACCAGTCCATCCTAAAGGAAATCAGTCCTGAATATTCATTGGAAGAACTGAAGCTGAAGCTGAAACTCCAATACTTTGGCCACCTAATGTGAAAAACAGACTCACTGGAAGAGATCCTGATGCTGGGAAAGACCGAAGGCAGGAGGAGAAGGGGACGACAGAGGACGAGATGGTTGGATGGCATCACTGACTCTATAGACATGAGTTTGAGTAAGCTCCAAGAGTTGGTGATGGACAGAGGAGCCTGGCGTGCTACAGTCCATGGAGTCGCAAAGAGTCGGACATGACTCAGCGACTGAACTGAACTGAGCCCTCTTTGAGAAAAACTGAGAAGCAGGTTAGGCTTAACAAAGTCTGATGAACTTAACCCTAGGGCTTCTTCGTATGTTTTTGAATGTGTATCTGTTATCAGAATATACATTTCACACACTAAATACATCCAAGGAAGCTGTGTTTTTCCTCAGCAAGTGATATGTTTGCTTCTTTTCAATGACCATCATGAAGCTCAGAACTTAGTCTATATCCCACCACTATGTATTTGAGTATAATACACTCCATCTGGAGGAAGAAATGGCAATCCCTGCCAGTATTCTTGCCAGGAGAATTCTATGGACAGAGGAGGCTACAGTGCTACAGTCCATGGACACAGAGTCAGACACAACTGAGCACACACACTCCCAATATACCCCAACCTCATCTTTCTATTCACATGTCAGTTTTTCACGACTCTCATTTATCTTTGTTTTGTATGTTTTTATATTATGTACAATTTGTTGTTGTTATTTAGTCACTCAGTCGTGTCTGACTCTGCAATCCCACAGACTGTAGTCCACCAGGCTCCTCTGTTCATGGAACTTCCCACGCAAGCATACTGGAGTAGGCTGCCATTTCCTTCAGGGTATCTTCCTGACCTAGGGATCACACTCAAGTCTCCTCCACTGTAGGCAAATTCTTTACCATTGAGCCACCCTAAGAATTAAAAACCATATTAGCTTGTTACATCCTCATAGCAACCCTATGAGGTAGTTACTATGATTTTCTCCATTTTATAGATGAAGAAATTGGAATAGAGAGGTTAAGTAATTTGTCCAAGGTACCAGTTGTTAAATGTGGCAATTTGACCTAAGGCAGTCAATGTGGAATCAGAGCTTCTGCTCTAGAGTAATTACATTTCAGGTAATCCTTGAATTATAAAAGGATACTGAAAGGCAGAGCCACTACAAAAAATGATGAAGATGATGAGGGGTTGGGGGGCAGGCAGTGAATCTAGGAACAGGCTTAGACAGGTAAAGAGCCTAAGTAGAGAATGTAGATTAAGGAATACTGGAATACTGGGGTGTTTGTATGTGTGTGTGTGGGGGGGGGGGTGCAGTTTCTAAATCTACTTAAAACTCTAGATAGATTCTATTTGAAACAGTAAACAAAAGGAAACTATAAATTCTTGAACTCAAAAGAGATGATTAAAGTTTTTTTCCAAAAGCTATTATACAACAGTGATATGACTGGACTGGACTGAACTGAACTGATATGAACTAACCCTAATTTGAAGCTAAATTCATATTAGTAAATATTCTTTCTTGGTCCTGTAAACCTACACGATCAAGCACTTTAAGGCCTAGGGTGCCAGTTACATTAGACGACCCTCAGGTTCTGCATGATTTTCAGCAGCCTCTCCTTAATTTGGATGCGTTTAGGTAGGATTTATTCTCCATTCCCCTACTTTCCAGTTGTTTTATACCCAGAAATGTGGCCCCTGAAGACACTTGTTAATCACCAATCTCTAGGGCATTTTGTGGTTATTAGGGTTCCCTGATAATGTTTATGTCTCAAACACTGCCTCTAGGGTCCCTAACACATCTCTAGAGCTGACTTATTTGAAAAGACCCTGATGCTGGGAAAGACTGAGGGCAGGAGAAGGGGACAACAGAAGATGAGAAGGTTGGATGGCCTCACCAACTCAATGGACATGGGTTTGGATGGACTCTGGGAGTTGGTGATGGACAGGAGGGCCTGGCGTGCTGCGGTTCATGGGGTCACAAAGAGTCAGACACGACTGAGCGACTGAACTGAACCGAACACATCTCTAGGCTTCAAAGATATCAATAATTAAATCAAGCCCAGTCAAAGAAATTACTTACATAAACTTCATCCTACTAGTTTTTCCTAAGGGGTTACTTATCATTTTAAACTTAAAAGCTCATTTTGTAAATGTCTTCTCTTGTCCATGTTTGACCCTTCAGAAGCAAGAAGGATAGGTGGAGTACTACTCAGGGCCTATGCTTTCCAATTCTTTAATGTCTAAAGTAAGCTTTTACTACTAAAGAGCGAGGCCATTGTCAAAGTGTAATTTTTGAGACGTTATAAACACGATTCATACAAAGTGAGCCTGTGGCAAAGATTTACTGAATTCATAATGAACTAACAAGCCGAATGGCAAAAATTATTTTTAAAAATCTTGGAAATAGGGCAATAAAACTATAACCTTCAGCGTAATTTTTTCTCCCAGTCAGAAATCATTTGCATCTCCATTAGACAAAAAAAAAAAAAACGTAACTGCAAAGCCTGGGCCCTAATCAATACTATGTCAAGCAAAAGTATAATTCTCTAGATAATTGAGTCTCTAACAGGTGGGCCTATTAGACAAGGCTCTACTTTGAAAAGACAGTGTAGCAATCCTTTTGCCTTTTGGAGGATGTTTGTAACTTTTACCATCATAAAAGTTTGGCTCTATAAATCAAGTAACTAACATTCCTTTATCCCGCCCATTCTCCAGTCATCATTTCAGATACTGAGTAGACAGGTTATTTGGAAGAAAAATTCCTATTACTTAAAGAATAATAATTTCTTCAGGTTAAATACTACTTGACTAATGGAATCTCTGAAGAACGAAATGGCAACCCACTCCAATACTCTTGCCTGGAAAATTCCATGGATGGAGGAGTCTGGTGGGCTACAGTCCTTGGGGTCGCAAAGAGTCGGACACGACTGAGCGACTTCACTTCACTAATGGAATCCCAGTACATTAATATCCTTTGTTTCAAGATTAGGAGGCAAAGACATTCTAAATGGGGACTGGCTTTAAACCCGGGGTAGGAGCTACCTAAATGGAGGGTGAGGTCACGATAGTGGCCCAGGAGCAGGGTCCAGACCCGGTGGCAGCGCGTCCCCGCGCCGCGGTCCCAGCGCGACCCGGCCTGCATCTCACAGGCGGAAGCCCCGCGTCCCCGCCCTTTTGTTCAGGGCTGGGCTGTTTCCCGCCCTCCCTTCCCCCCATCTCAGGAGTTGTGTGACACCCGTGCAAACAAGAGAGCGGGGAACAGACTCTGCCGGCAAAAGCTGTGGGAATACTCACCCCACTCCGCTCGGCCCCAGACCCGGCCGCCCAGCCCAGCGGGGGCGGGGCGACGGAGATGGGGGAGGGGAGCTGGGGTGAGGGAACCACCGCCCAGCCAGCGATCGCGAGGACCGGAGCAATGGGCCCCCGGGGCAAACGGGGCTGCGGCAGAAGAGCAAAACCAGCCAGCAGGGACGCCCACCACTGAAAAGAGCCCTAGCCCGCCCTCAGCTGCCGTCGCCTGAGGCGACTCAAAGGGAGCATGCGCACTGTATCTCCCGCACACCCCGGGACACGGCTCGCACTGGCGGCTGACGTCGTGGGCCGCGTGCGTCGGGACCCGGCCGGGGGGCGTGACCTCTCTGGGGCTTCCAACGGCCGCCGCCGAGGCTCCGCCCCGCACTTCACAGGGCGGCGGTGGGTTATCTCAGCGCGGCACAAAGGAGGCGCCTTGAGAAAGGGGAGGGGTTGTCAGCGACTTCAAGAGTCTCTGCATACTCTCCTCCAACAAACAACCAAATATCTGGAAAATAAAAGGATGCCCAATGGAGAAAGGTAGGGCAAGAACGGAGCTGAACCATTCAGTGCTCCTAGAGTGTCCTCAGAGGTTGGAGAACAGTGCCGGCTCTCAAAACACACATTGCAAAACTCCTGTGAGCGCAATTAAGCGCTAGCACGACCACCTTTAAAACTTACGGACCGATATAGAAGTTAGGGACTGGAGAATTGACAGTAGTACCGTCTGGCACAAAGCTCAAGGAGGAAAAAAAACTGGCTGCAGAATTAAATTGGGGCGCGGGGTGGTGGAATAAAAAAAAAGACTAGAGAAAATGCAGAGAGTAACAGGGGTTATCCAACTGAAATACTGAAAATGCAACGGCAGACATCTGAGGGAAAACTAGCATCTGCTCCTTTTAACACGACAGAATTAAATTTGTGTCAAAAGAAATGAGTAAACACAGGCAAAGAAGTGAAAGGAAAACCTGCTTTCAAACGTACAGAGCATGGTATTGATCTTGTACCACAGTTATGTAAGATGTTACCACTGGAGAAAGTTAGGTGTTGGATGCTCAGAACACAATGTACTATTTTTACAATTTCCTGTGAGTTTATAATTATTTCAAAGTACTGTGTGTGTGTGTGTGTGTGTGTGTAGGTATTGCTCAGTCGTGTCCGACTCTGCTCGCCATGGACTATAGCCCGTCAGGCCACTCTGTCCATGGAATTCTCCAGGCAAGAATACTGGCATGGGTAGCCGTTCCCTTCTCCAGGGGATCTTCGTGACCCAGGGATCTAAGCCAGGTCTCTCACATTGCAGGCAGGTTCTTTACCATCTGAGCCAAAAAGGGACAACCCTGATCAGTGGTAATCAGAGGAAGGGAATGACTAAAAAGGGGCTTGAGGAAATTTTGAGGGGTAATAGAACTTTACCTTCGTTTGCCAACACTCTTAAAAGAGATTTTGCTGCGTGTAAAATAGCTTAAAACTCAATTTTAAAGAAGATACCAGTAGTAAAGATGAAAGTCCTAACATGTTTGAGCAACTGTAGATACAAATTAATTGAATAACTGCCAGTTAAAATTATCCACTTTATTTTTGAAAAGCATGGGGCAGTGAGAGAATTTCAGCTGGTGGGTGTCTCCAACTTTACCCAGTTATTTTTAAAACATAATTTTTTTTTTTTTTTGCCAGATGAATACTTTTACTGTAATATTGAAATAAGGCTAGTGACCCAGAATCATATCCCTGCCCTTCCCTCTGTTGGAAACCAGTTGCTCCTGAATTTCAGGAGGAAGCGTTTCCCCCAGTTATTGTTTGTAGAAAAAGGCTTTTATCTCCTAAACCTTCCATGAGTCCCAAAGAGCAGATCCAAGCAGTTACTGGTTTGGGGAATTAATGAAGCTCAGGTTCTTGATGTCTCATCACAAAGAATCAGTGAGAGACATAGTGATGGATAAGAAATAGATTTATTTAGAAAGAGACATACTCCACAGAGTGTGCCATTTCAGAAGTCAAGAGCAGCCTTAAAAACATAAATCTTTAATACAAAGATGAGAATGCATTCCTTTACATTGTATTCACTAATTAGAAACACTTTTCATGCATCAACAACACCACATCATATTAACAAACTTTTTTTTAATTCGAGATGGTTTTAAGTTTTATAATTAACCTTGTTGTTGTTGTTGAGTCGCTAAGTCGTGTCTGACTCTTTGTTGACCCCAAGAATGGTAGCACACACCAGGCTTCCCTGTCCTTCACTATCTCCTGGAGTTTGCTCAAACTCATGTCCGTTGAGTTAATGATGCTATAAATGCATAGTTGGCCTACCAAAACCGAACAAACTAAAGTAAATCAGGTAACTTCCATATACTTCCTCTCATCATATCAGTCATGGCGAAGGATGGTACTGGCAGTCTGCACTCTGTAGAGTACTTTAGTGCAAAGTCTGTCATTAGTGCATCCTCAGCCTCCAGCAGGGCACCTCACGAGTAATTAGTACTTGAATAAAACTATGAATTAATCACAAAAGGAGAAAAAGGAAAGTACAAAATTTATTGAGCACCTACCACAGATCAGAAGCTTTTTTAAAAATATTCTATTTTTATTTATTTATTTATTTATTTATTTGGCTGCACCGGTCTTAGTTGTGGCACATGACATCTTCGATCTTCCTTGTGGTGTGTGGAGTCTTTATTTGTGTCATATGGGATCTAATTCCCTGACCAGAGATCAAACCCAGGCCCGTTGCAATAAGAGCATAGAGTCTTAGCCACTGAACCACCAGGGGAGTCCCAAGAAGCTTGTGTTTAATTTAATCTCATAATAACCACATTTTATAGATATAAACTCGAGACTTAAAGTAATGATCTATGAATCGTTGACATTTTCATCCCTTATTTTATTGGATTTGTCTGTTTCATTTGGACATGTTGATCATTCCTAAAAAGTCTTGCTTCCCTTAGTTTCCATAAGACCACAATCCCCCCACAATTCTTCCAGCTTCCTGACCATGCTTTTTTTCATCCTTACAGGCTTCTGTTTGTTCATTATACTTTAAATGTCCATGTTCCCCATAGAGCCTCACAGAAATTGAGTCTTCTGCAGTTTTGTTTATTTGTTTTGCTGAGACACATAAATGGAAAAAAAAAATAAAGAATCCAAAATAGGGTTATAAAAACTGCATTTAGTGTTTTCTTTTAACCTATGAATTCTTTTGTACATATTCTTTCTGCTCATATCCTATGAGCTACACTAAGATACCAGGAAAGTAGTAAGTGTGGTCTCTAGCTAGATTCCCAAGGACTCAGTAAAACCTTCACAATGTGAGATGATTTTACTAAAACAAAGAAGGAAACGTGAATACTGGAGTAGAAGAACTCTCTCTGGTGCAGCCTGTAGGGGTCAGATCTCCTCTACCACCTTCCCAGGAGGTCCTTAGGAAAAGATATATTACACAAAATAGAGGAGCTAATCTGATTGTGTGTCAGAGATAAGAAACTTATCTTGAAGCTCTGTGTACACAGAAATTACCTAAAAGAATGAAAGGAAAAAAAGTATAATTGGCAAAACTATAGAAACGTAAAAAGATTGGTGGTTGCCAGAGTGTGTGGGAAGGAGGCAAAGATGAGCAGGATGAATATGTGAAGTGTTGGGCAGTGAAACGGAAATAGGAGGGAAGGGGACAGGGCACGAAGTTGAAAATCAGAGATCTTCCAGATGTATAAGCTGGTTTTAGAAAAGGCAGAGGAACCAGAGATCAAATTGCCAACATCCGATGGACCATAGCAAGAGAGTTCCAGAAAAACATCTACTTCTGCTCTATTGACTAGGCCAAAGCCTTTGACTGTGTCAATCACAAGAAACTGGAAAATTCTGAAAGAGATGGGAATACCAGACCACCTGACCTGCCTCCTGAAAAATCTGTATGCAGGTCAAGAAGAAACAGTTAGTACTGTACATGGAACAACAGACTGGTTCCAAATCAGGAAAGGAATATGTCACAGCTATATATTGTCACCCTGTTTATTTAACTTATTTGCAGAGTACATCATGCGAGATGCCAGGCTGGATGAAGCACAAGCTGGAATCAGGATTGCTGGGAAAAATATCAGTAACCTCAGATATGCAGATGACACCAAACCTATGGCAGAAAGTGAAGAAGAACTAAAGAGCCTCTTGATGAAAGTGAAAGAGGAGAGTGAAATAGTTGGCTTAAAACTCAACATTCAGAAAACTACGATCATGGCATCTGGTCCCATCACTCCACGGCAAATAGATGGGGAAACAATGAAAACAGTGAGAGACTTTATTTTGGGGGACTCCAAAATCACTGCAGATGGTGACTGCAGCCTTGAAATTAAAAGATGTGTGCTCCTTGGAAGCAAAGCTATGACCAACCTAGACAGCATATTAAAAAGCAGAGACATTACTGCCACTGTTTCCACTGTTTCCCCATCTATTTGCCATGCAGTGATGGGACAGGATGCCATGATCTTTGTTTTTTGAATGTTGAGTTTTAAGCCAGCTTTGTCCTATATAGTAGATTCTTGTTGTTTTCTGTTTCTGGTTTGTAAATAAGTTCATTTGTATCATTTTTTAGATTCTACATATAAATGATATATGATGTCTGCCTTTGTCTGATTTACTTCACTTAGTATGACATTCTCTAGGTTCATCCATATTGCTGCAAATGGCAATATTTCATTCTTTTTTATGGCTGAGGAATAATCCATTGTATTTATACACCACATCTTCTTTATTCATTCATCTGTCCATGGACATT